TGAGATGAGAGGACTCAGGGAAGACAATCCCAGGTATGAGGTCACTATCCAATAAAACTTGGAACCCCCATAACCAGGCACCCACATTTTAGCCCAACAGGCAGCTCACTTGCCAAGAGGCATTTGCCAGTGCAAGATGTTCTCTTGCTGTTTTCCCAGTGATTGGTGCTCTTGCTTCGGGAGACCCCGAGTGAGAGCTTTTGGAGACGGTGGCGACATTGGTTCAACCCTCGTTCCAGACGTATCTGGCCTTGTACAAAAACATGGCCTCAAGTAACACAAGGTGGCCTGGGTCAGACCCATTCAGGCCAGGCCACCTCTGTGCACCATCCCTGTGCAGCCCACATCCCCTCCCCTTGATGTGGTGGGAAGAGGGACCTGAAGGGAGAAGCCTGGGGCAGGAACAGATTTTGGGGAAGTGAATCACCTAGAGGTCCTGCTATGTTCAGACCCCAGGACAGGGCAGGCAGGTGGAGATGGGCTTCCAGAAGGTCCCTTATCTGTGCCAATGACAATCCTAACCCTCTGGCTGTCAGACATTTTCCTCTGCAGAGGAGGTCTGAGTTCATCACACTGTGTGTGTGTGTGTCGGCAGTGGAGGGACACAGGGGTAACAGAACCAGCAAAACAGGGCTCTGAGGCTTTCCCCCTGGTGACTGGGAACTGTCTTCACAGCGCCCCACACAGGAGAACAGAGAGGAGCTGAAAGATGGGGTCCTCAATTCCATCCCCCTGCAGGAGGCACAGGAGCCCCATACATGCTCCAGCGAGCAGCATGGCCCCCGGTGCAGGTGCTGAGGTGACCCAGACTCCAGGACCCCATGCAGTCAAAGGGGTCCCTGGGTTCCAGAAGCTGCCCTGTTATTCCCTCAAGCTCCCTCCCAGATTCCAATTTCCAAAGTAATCTGGATCTCTATCTCCTCCTCCCAACCCACTCTCACTGTCCGTCATCTATCAGATGCGATGCAAAGTCACTGCCCACAAAGTTTTAGGAATATCAGAAGAGAGACTTTGTACCATTTCACCTCATGCTCAGTCAAGTGTATTTTTGCATTTTTCTACAAACGCTCCCTTTTTCACGCCCATCTCTAAGTGTCCACGTCAGCCTGACAATCCTTACACACCTTCTCCCACTCTTACACACCATCATGATCAGTAGGGATGCTTTTCCCAAAAGGACATGGGGCTCAAGGTACCAAGTCTCTTGCTTTGCCCTTTGCTGCCCCAAGGACCACATCCCTGTGGTCCCTCCAGGTCAGGAGCTGGGGCCTCCCTGGGATGCACAACATACCGACAGGGGGACCTGTTATCAGGGCTGGCGATCCAACTGTTCACCGCTGTGGGATCTGGACATGATCCGCTCCTGTGCCATGTCAAGGGTGCTGCCCTGGACACCCCACTTGTCCTAATATCCAGACCCTCCCACCCCTGGAAAAACCTCTGTGTTTCCATCTCAGAATGGGATGTTCTGTCAGAAATCCCAGGGTTGACATTGTTAACACCAGGAGGTGATGTCCATTCTCTGCTACGAAAATGACTAAGATACTAATGTGCCTCATCATAACTCACCCCCAAGTCGATTACGCCAAGAACCTTTTCTCTTGTCCATGTAGAAAACATGAAAACCTGTGAAGAATTTTTCAGAGTTTCTCTGAGCCAAAGTGTAAACAATTGCGCTGAAGCAAAATCTCAACTGAATGAGAATGTAATGCTCCAGAGAATGGCAGCTTTGCACCTTGATTTATACATTACACTCAAAAGAGGAGACTTGTGTGGGTTGCATGAAATCCATTGGTGATAGATTAGGGAGGCAGGAGAAATCAAAGCAGGGAATCTCTGGGGTTGGATAAAAGGTAAAATGATAGACACACACTTCTTTTACATAGGTGAGAGCAGGATAGTTAACAGTCAACAATGAACTCAATGACAATGAGCGGAATTGTGGTCTTTGCAGAATGGTGCCTGTGCTTTGAGTGTTCTGAAAGAAGGAAAATTACTTTGACATTACAAAAATATGTTGCTATAGATTCAAAAAGACAATAGACAAGCTCAGTTAAGGTAAAGATTGACCTTTGTCAGGGAAGATGACAGCCTGGGACATGACTACGCACCATACACTGCTTTTACAAGTAGTTTAAAAAACACTTTAATTTCGGATCATCCTTTGTGGTTACTTTAGGTCTCTGAGTTTGCAAGGCCGCCAGGTTAGCATGTGGTCTCTGTGATCACTCTTGCCCCACCTCCAGCTACCAATCCCTGAGTGCTTGGGGTTCAGTCTGAGCTGTAGCCCCCAACCCACCTGGCAGTTTATGAGCTGACCCAATGCTATGTGCCCCCTCTGTCCCAACACAGGGTGGAAATAAGGCCTGCGGCTGCAGGCCTGGACAGCATGCCCGCTGCACTCAACACTCAGGTGCCGATGAACATCTTTGCTACCTGGGAGGTGGACTGCTCCAGCCCCACCTGTGTGCCTAGGCAGTGCAGCCTCACCTTAAACAAGCTGCTGATCTACATGGAGCTGGAGAAGGAGGTCAGGGGTGTGGTCATCAGTGTGAAGATCCAGGGCTCCAACACCATCTTGAGGTCTGATGAGATTCTGCTGCCCCCCAGTGGTCAAGTGAAGACAGACCTGGTGCTGACCTTCTCCCTGCAGTACCCCCACTCCCTCAAGAGGAAAGACAACACCTTACAGATCCTGCTGCAGCAGAAGCAGCGCCTTATAAACGAGACCCTGGGGGGATATAAGACGCTCGCCATGGGCAATATCAACATGGCTGAGTTGATGCTGCGACCCCTCCAGGGTGGCCAGATGCTGAGCCTCAATAGCACCATCACGGAGACATCTGCCCATGTGGCTGAGGTCAGCATCTCCCCCTTGTCCAGCCAGCCCATGGAAGTGGAGGACAGCACCTGGCAGGCTGGCCCCAAAGCAAGTCCAGCTTTAGTTACTCTGATCATCAGGCTAGCCATGATCCCAGGCTCAGGTAGGACCAAGAGGAGGAGGATTTTGACTTTGGGGAGTCCAAAAAGCAGCCCCAAGGAGTAGGAAGTATGCCACCCATGACAAGGGAACAATATGCCATCAAGAAAGTTGGGGCGTGGCTGCACAAGGCGCAAGTGTGGAAGGAAGAACTGAGCCTGGAGCAGGAGTCTTGGGAGAATGTCACCGAGGAGGACGATGACCTCAATGTGCTGTATGATTCGATTGAGAACTTTAGCGACAGTGGCTCATGAGAGTGTCCTCACTTCCCAAAATCTCTGTCTCAGGCCATTCTAGGAATACCTATGTTACCCCAGCTCTGAGGGAGATCTAGAGCATCCACAGTGCCCGAAGCCAGAAGGAGCGGCCAAATCCAACCAATGTGACAGGATGAGATGCTAGAAAGCAGCGGGCATATCACCAACCCGAGTCTCTCCTCATCCCCTCCCCCAGATCCTCTGGGCAGCAGGTGGTCTGTTGGGGCTGGAGCACATCCCAGAAAGAGAGACAAGTGGCACAGCCACATAAAGGCAGGTCAACAGCCTGGACAAAAAGCACTGTCCTGACTGACTGAGCCAGCTGCAGATCCCCAGGATGACAGTGTATGATCACCTAAACTGCATCCTCATCTCTGACAACTAGCTGCCGAGAACACCCTCTCCTCAATGCCTCTGACTGGCAGGGGCAGTTTCTGGCTGAGTCCTGCAGCAACACATGCTGACGAGGTGTGCACCTGCTCCAAGCCTGAGGTCCAGGCAGCCTTCAGTACCATCATCTGGAGGATACAGAGACACTGTCTCTACAATTCCCAGCCCTCAAAGCCTGTAGAGATCCTGGTGGCAAGGCCACAGCACTACTGCAGCGCTGTGCTACAGGTCTTCCTGGAGCTGCTGCCTACAACCTGCCCCCTTAGTTGGGCTACATGTACTTTCTGGTCACCCTGCTCGGTTCCCATCCCGTGACCTGGTACCTGGGTGCCTTGGAAATCTCCTACAACAACTTCTTTCAGGACCTGCCCAGGCAGGACCTGTTCTCCAGGGAGGCCGGCCAGAGGGCTGTGCAGGACACACTGGACATCCTTTTGAGAACCACACAGTACATCACAGGGGCCAATTGTGTCCACCAACTGTCCATCATGGAGGCCATACTTACCTACAAACAGAAGAGCCCCAATGAAAAGTCCTTGAACATCATTTCCTTTGTGGTGTTGGTGGGACTTGGAATAGTGGGACCATTCTGGGTCACATCAGGAGACTGAGATTAGGAGGCCCCCGTGGGGTCTAGTGTGCTGTCATCCACCCCACCATACAGGTCTGTGGCAAACAAGGAGGCTTCACTGACCCTATTCTCTTCCCCATCTGTGAGTGGAGGCCTGTCCTGCTCCAGCCAGGGTTTTGGTGCTGAGCTAATGAGCCTGCAGGTGGATTAGTGGACAGCAGCCCAACCCATAGACAGAAAGAGAGACTCTGCGAACAAATCCCAGGCTACCGCCAACCACACCCTCAAGTGCACCTAACAGTCTCTCCAGATCAGCAAGCTGCCAGACAGGGGTGAGGCTGCAGCCACGTCCACCATGTCCATGACAGTGGTCACCAAGGAGAGGAACAACAGGGTGATGTGTTTTCCCAAGAAAACCAAAGACAAAGATGTGAAGTACCAAAGCCAGTGTCTGGAGGGCATCTGCCATCCGATCTGCAGGGCCAACCATGCACAGAACATGCTGTGGGTCCTTGTCGACGGCCTGGAGTGGGACAACATGAATTTGCCACGTCAAGCACTTCCCCACCCACCTCTTCGGGTGCTCCAATCCCACCTGCTATCCCTGTCTGTCCCCTGCCCTTCCCCGGCCCTGGCCAAGCCCTGAAGGACCAGATGCTTCTCTCTTCACTTTCCATTTTGGTACAGAGACAGACCCTGGAAACACAAAGCGTAAACTTTTCAGTGTGAAGGTGCTCACAACCTGGAAACTAATGTGGTGGCACCCACAGGGAGCTCCCAACGGCTCTGCTTATTACCCAGAATGCTCTGGTGAGTGAGAGGTCAGGCAGACAGTGTTGAGATGCACAATCATTGAAGCAGAAGCCTAGGACCCCAAAACCCTCCTTGAGAAAGGTTCTCACCATCCAGACCTGCCCTTCCTGGAAGCCAGGATTCTTCCTCCTGTGGAGTCAGCTCCAGTGTGTGCCCGACTCAGCGCTGTGTTATAAAGGCCGATGGCTGGCCTCCCATTGGGGCATCCTCACAGAACATGGAGGCTTGTCAGCCCAGCCCTGCGCCTCAGTTGCCCACCAGCCAAGTGTCTCCAGCACCACCCTCTCCTTGTATCCAATAAACTCCATCCTCACAAGGCAAAACAGAAAAGAATAAACAAAAGACCAGTATGGTACCCTCCACCCAGGCACACTGACTGGACAAACTGGACAAATACCAGGTGCCCACCTTCCTGAGAAGGGACCTCTCTTTTCTCCCCACCTTTCTGTGTTGTTATAGAGAATTTGCTACCATCCAGCCAGTGTGGTACCAACTATTCACCAGGTGAGCACCTCTCTCTGACAGTCACCCGTTTGCCACAAGTTTTCAGGTCACTGCATCTCTCTGAGTGTTTGTTCCTCTGAATATGGGGAAATGGAGTCCCAATTGGGTTATTGTAGAGACTCAGTGGGGTCCTCCCTGGAAAGTGCTCTCTGGGTGACTGGACAGTGCAGAGGTGTGCCAGAGGGACAGTGCAGAGGTTGAGCCAATTGGTCATTTTCTCTTCCTGTTGAGGAAGCCTCTGCCCAATTTGTGATTCCTCAGGGCCTTGGGCTAAGCTCTTTTCTCATGTCATAAAGAGATTGCAGACTCCATGAGGGGTTCCTATCCTGGTTGAAGTCAGAACAGAAAGCCCACGGGTGAGCAGTGGGGCCCAGACTCACCCAGCTATCTGAGAGGGCTGGTTTGGGCTCCTTCATTCACCAAATATATCAGAAGCCCTGCCAGGTACAGACACATCTCTAGGCACTGACCATAATCCAGTGCTCAGAGCAGACCCCAAGCCTACACTTCAGAGCTTCTTTCTACTCAGGGGCGAGTCATTCACACTAGGCTTCACAGGATCACAGTTTCCACAGGACAGTTGATTTGACATCCTACTGGCCTCTGCTATCTATGGCTGCATCCTCTCTTATTGGGAAGAGGAAGGAGGACATCTGTTCTAGCAGAAAATGTGAGTTGGCTTTGGATCACAGCCATGAGGGGAGTATCAAAACTGTGACTTCAATGTGCTGGCAGAATCCTGTATTCCACACCAGGTGGGATTTCTGCAAGAGGGCACAGGTCTGAGGGCTTCCCCCCAAAAAATGACAGGAGTTAGAGAGTTATTCATGTGGATTTGGGTGGTGTGGGTAAGTGGAGAGGTCAGTGTACAGAGTGAAACATTCAGAAAATTCATATCCTTTGCTCCTAATGCCAGCCCTCACTATACCCCTATCCAGGGACCCTGTCCACTAATCTGGTAGAACCTTCTTAGTGACAGCTTGGCAGGTGTACCCCACCCTGTGGGAGTTGAGTTTCAGTGGGAGGTGAAGCACCCCACAGGGCAGCTAGTGAATTAGGCAGCATGTAGGTGTAGGAGCCAAAATCTGAGTGATAGAAAGACTCTGGGAAGCCAGGGATGGAGATGGAGTCCATTTGTTCTCTCTTTGGTCAGATATTTCTGGAGGACCTACTGTGTGCCAATGAGTGACATGAACAGGGTGGACAGCAGCCCTACCTATCCTCACGGAGTTGACATTTGGGTCAGAGGGTCATGGGAGGGGACAGGGACACAGAGCATGTCAGGTTCTCCTGGAAAAGAGGACAGGTGGTTCCCTCATGGATCCAGAGCTGTCAATTAGGAGGGCTTTCTGCCAGCCCCTTCTTGAACAGGGTCATCTCTGCCAGGACTGCCAGACTGAAGGTGAACAAGGAGGAGGTCCAGCTTCTGGATGGGCAGAGCAGGGGCAAGGACCCCAGGCTCTCTGTGTGGTGCTCTGGGAGGGCCCTATGGAAGGAAAGGCCAGGCCTCAGTCTCTCCCACCCATCTATCTCTCTCCCCAGGACAATCTCCTGCATCCTGGGCATCTGACTGGACCAGCACCTCCAGAATTAACCAGCCTGATGATGCTGTTGGCTTCCCTTGCGTTCAACTTTTGATTTGCTGACCGGTAAAACCAGGCCCATCGTCTCCATTCACAGCTGGAAAACCTGAGCCCACTGAGGCAAAGACAGAGAAGGAGGAGGAGGAGGAGGCTTCTGGGGGGTGGTGTGGGTGAGGGGGCTGGCATGCGGCAGTGCCACACAGAGAAGAGCTCTCAGAGGCTGGGATTAGACAGGAGCACAGAGTAGGTCAGTCAGTGCCCATGGCTTACAGTCTGGAGGACTTCCTGGGGTCTGGTCATGAACTGAGATTTCAAAGATGGATATGGGAGTTTCCCTGCCTTGGGAGGTGCACAGAAGGCAGTCATGGTGGTTGTTAGGTCGGAGAGAGCCCAGGATCGAATACATGCAGACATGTGACGAGATAATGGACTCCCCCTGCCATTTCTGGCAGATCAGCGTGCCAGACACAGATACAGGCTTCTCCCTGAATCCACAATGACCCTCACACAGATCCTGACTCATTCCTGAATACCTGGCTGACCCCTGCAGCAGAAACTTCCTCAACTGAATACATCAGCTCATGTCCCCACCCCTCACCCAAACACAGTATAAAAAAAGCACCCCCCTCCCTGTTGTTGTGAATCCAAGTGCCCTGTCCTTGGGGTATGTGGGTCTCCCGGGGACACAGAATAAACTTTCCTTCCTTCCTTTCTTTTCTGATTCACTCGACTATTTCTTATGCCGCCTCCTGAGCCAACTAACCTAACAGTGGTGACATGCTCTCTTTCTGGATCTACAGAAACAGCTCCAGAGCAAGATCAAGAAACACCTAAAGAGGAAACGCCAAGTCTAGTGCCCTCTCTAGAGCCAAAGTAGGCTCCAGGCACAGCTGTCACTGAACTTCCAGACGTGGAACCACCTGTGGCTTATGAGCCACTGGCCTCATCTCCTTTGAGGCTTGTGGTCCCAGGTCCTGGGCCACAACATGTGTCAGCTGCTATGGCAGGAGGGCTTTTCCTCCCTGATAACAGCAATATAAAAAATTTTTTGTTTATCTTACACATACTTCGAATTTTAGTGTATTTTTCTTACATGATTGAGTAAAAGAATACTTATTTAAAATAAAATTTATTTAAAATAAATTTAAATTATATAAATTTTAAGTCTATGATCCCCCAAAGTGTAAATTCCAAATTCAAGTACATTCACAATTTTTCACAACTGTCACATCACATCACAAACACACTCTAGTTCTGGAACATTTTCAGAACCCACAACCTAGGTATGTGCCCTGACCAGGAATCAAACCTGCCACCTTCTAGTGTATGAAATGACTGTCCAACCAACTGATGAGGCACCCTGTCCAGGCCAAGAGAGAACAATATTTTCATTTGAATTTTTCATTCTGGTTTATATTGCAATTGGATACCTTTTCACATACTATTTGGCCTGTTTCTTGTTTTGGAATTTCAGTTAGAGGGCTTTTGCCCTCTTTCCCATTGGATTGTTAGGAAATCTCAGTTGTTATGGATATGAACTTTTTGACATGTAACTTGCAAATGGTTTCTCTAGCTTGCCATTGTCTCCACTTGCCGTGTGTTTTGCCAAGGAAATGCATTACATTTTGATGTGGTCAAATCTGTCTTCTCTTATGCTTTTTGATTTTGTTTCTCACTTTGAGGGGAAAGGATGTTTTCTGTCTTATCTGGAAGATAGGCCAGGTTGTATTGTGCTAACAGAGCCCTAAACCTCAGTGGTTTGCAGCAGCAAAGGTTAGTTTCATAGTCATGTGACTTCAAGGAACTGATGGATTTCAAAAGGGTTCCTTTTTTCAGATTGTTCACCTGTTCTTAATTTTTTATTGTGAGGATGAAAGTAAGGACTTCCAACTACTTATATGTCAGAGTGGAAACCAGAAGTCAACGTTTTATTTGACAATGGCCTGTAGTGGACATGACCTCTATTTCCCCCTATTCTTACAGCTGCCCGTTTCCACATCCAGGTGGTTCTGGGGAGTGTGGTTCAGGGCCCTGGAGTGGAAGTATCAGCACATCTTACTGGTCTGTTGCCTTTTGGATCAAATGCTTTTTCAGTGGTTGTATGTTTTTTCACTTTATACAAGTGACCAGAAAAAAATTCTGGATGTTCTCAATTAAATTAGAGCAGTCAGAGAGTGAAAGAGACAGAGCAGTCAGCCAGTAGTAGCGGGGAGCCAGCAGTCTGAAGGGTCTTGGGTTTGATTCCAGTAAAGGCTTATACCTTGGTTGCAGGCTAGATCCTTGGCCCTAGTCTGGGAAGAGCAGTAGTCAACCAGTCGATTTCTCTCTCACATCGATGTATCTCTCTCTGTCTGCCCCTCTCCCTTCCATTCTCTCTAAAAATCAATGGAAACTTATCTTTGGATGAGGAATAACAACAACAACAACAACAACAATTTAGTGCGAAGAATGGCACTGCCACTTGCATTAAAACCTCAGGCATGTTAGCTGAGCTCTTTAAGGCTTGCTCTTTTCATGTGGAAAATGAGTACAAGGATAAAATTAAGTAAAAAAGTGCTTAACATAAAGAATTGGCACGTGGTGGACACTCAGTATATATGTTCCATTACTTTATAAATACATATGTATGTAAACAATCATCAAGTGGAAATGCAAAGTGTAACATCAACAAAACAATCTAAAGCATTAAGATGTTAACAGGAATTGCCCAGGGCCTTCCAACACTTTATTTCTCCATTTAATCATAAGTGGATGGACTTACTAAGTTCTAGATAGAAAGATAAAATATTGCAAAGGCGCATATTCCATGAATTAATCTAAAATTTCCTTCTTTGATGTAAAAATCATAACAGAATTTTGGGGAACCAAAAACTATTCCAAATTTTATCTAAAAATAAATATGCAAACAAATCAGGAAACAGTTGAAAAGAATATAAGAAGGGGACTTGCTCTGTCAAGTAGAAAGGACTCTCAAGTAGTGCTGCCCTGGTGCTGGAGTGAGCAGGTCATGGGAGCTGGGCAGCGACATCAGGAATAGGGCCGAGCACATGTGGGACTGAGTGGATCATTATGGGGCCCTTTAGGAATAAATAGGACTGGGGCAGCTGTTTATTGAGGTGGTGCTCAACCTTGGCTGCACATTAGAATCACCTGGGAACCTTTTTAAAATCCTAATTTCTGGGCCTCATCCTCTGGAAATTCTGTTTCTTTGTTATGGGTTGGGGCCACAACATTAATAACAAAGAAACAGAATTTTCGGAGGATGAGGTCCAGAAATCAGGATGTTAAAAAGATTCTCAGGTGATTCTAATGTGCAGCTAAGTTTGAGAACCACTGATTTAGGGGAACATATTAGATCAGTATTTCAGATCTCACCAAAAACATTTAAAATGATTTTAAGATGAATACATTTTACTGCGCCTTTTTTTTTCTTTTGAAAGTCTAATGCAGGTGGAATGAAAAATTTGAAAACAAAAATTGAGAGAATATGAATAGACTCTATTTAATTTTATGATGGAGAGATAGATCTAACACTTTCCACATGTTGATTTTTTGGGGGGGAGATGAGATGTAAAGGAGGAAAAAGGTCAGTCCTATGAAGTCCTGAGCAAAGAGCTTTGCAGAGAGAGAGGTGTGTGTGCAAAGGCCCTGAGGTGGGAAAGAGCTCCCTGGGTTTTAGGAATGAAATATAGGCCAGGGTGGCTGGAGTAAAGAGGAGAGTGAGACAGGAAGTTGTGCAGAGCAAGGGGTCCAGAGCTTGCAGAGTCTTGTTCAGGTTGTAAGATCTATTCCAGGTGCAATGAGGAGTTTTAGAGGATTTTAAGTGAAAGATTTTAAGTGAAAGATATTTAGCAACTATCTTTCTATTTGTATTTTACAAAGATATTTTAATAATCAGATATGGCTGTTGCATTTTGGATCAGATGCTTTTTCAATGCCTGCCACTTTTTATTAACTTTTATAAAAATACCTTTTTAAATTTTAGAATATTCATTCCTAGGTTTAATTTTCTAAAAAGCCTACAACATCTAAGAAATGTAATTATTTTCATTTGAAATTTATTTTTAAGAATAGTTGATATACAATCTTATATGGTTACTAGAGGCCTGGTGCACAAAAATTTGTGCACTCGGAGGGAAGGGGGGGGGCTCCCTCAGCCTGGCCTGTGCCCTCTCACAGTCTGGGACCCCTCGGGAGATAATGCCCTGCTGGCTTAGGCCTGCTCCCAGGTGGCAGAGGGCAGGCCCAATCCCTAGGTTTAGCCCCTGGTCGGGCTCAGAGCAGGGCCAATTGGGGAGATGGGGCGCCTTCCCCCTGTCATGCACAGAGCAGGACCCATCAGGGGGTTGAGGAGCTCTCCCTTGTCACTCACAGAGTAGGGCCGATAGGGGAGTTGGGGCACCGCCTCCTGTCACACACAGAGCAGGGCCGATCAGGGGGTTGGTGCGCTGCCCTCTATCACCCACAGAGCAGGGCCGATCAGGGGGTTGGGGTGCCGCCACTGTCACACTCAGGGCAGGGCCGATGGGGAGGAAGGGTGTCCTGGATCAGGGTGGGGGTCCCCACTGGGGTGCCTGGCCAGCCTAGGTGAGGGGATGATGGCTGTTTGCAGCTCGTCACACCCCCTTCAGGGTGGGGGTCCCCATTGGGGTGCCTGGCCAGTCTGGGTGAGGGGCTGAGGGCTGTTTTCAGGCTGGCGGTGACTGAAGCTCCCAACTGCTCTTTTTTTCCTCTTTTTTTATTCTGGGTCAGCTTTAGTTCTGGCTTCTGCTCTGAGGCTTCTGCTGCTGAAAGCAGGTATCTGTTTTTTTGGGGTTCTATAATCGAAACAATATATCAACTCCAGCTCTGAGATCCCAGCACGCTGAAAGCAGGTTTCCGAAGTTTTGTTTAGCTTCTATATTTGTAACAATGTTTCAACTGCAGGCTCAGAGGCCTGCAGCGGCAGGTGGGGAACGTTGGTTTTCTCCATCACTGAGGCAAGCAAGCCTCATGTTAGTTTCAAGCTGCCTGGCTGCCGGCGGCCATCTTGGCTGACAGTTAATTTGCATATATCGCTGATTAGCCAATGAAAAGGGTAGCGGTCGTACGCCAATTACCATGTTTCTCTTTTATTAGATAGGATAGTGTTTCAGGTGTTTGATATTGTAATTTGACAATTTTATCAGCTCACCAGTTTTTTCTTTCTTTTTTATTAATAATAGCTACTTCATTCATATATATACATACATATATATATATATATATATATATATTGATTAAGATATTACATATGTGTCCTTATCCCCACGTTACCCCCTATCCTCCCGCTCATGACCTCCTCTCCACCACCCGTGGTCCATGTCCATTGGTTAGTCCTATATTCTTGCATATAAGTCCTTTGGTTGATCTCTACCCCTTACCCTCACCTCCCCTACCTTCCCTCCAAGGCCCGACAGTCCAATGGATGCCTCTCCGTCTCTGGATCTGACATTGTTCATCAGTTTATGTTGTTCATTATATTCCACAAATGAGTGAGATCATGTGGTATTTATCCTTCTCTGACTGGCTTATTTCACTTGGCATAATGCTCTCCAGTTCCATCCATGCTGTGGCAAATGGTAAGAATTCCTTCTTTTTTACAGCAGAGTTACACACATAGTGGAAGTGCTATAGAAGGGGGAGAATGGGTGTTAGAATTGATTAGCTTCAGGAGAGTTCAGAGATAATCTCTGAAATTTCTTATTAATTTCGGTTTTAAAGAGAATTTATCTGTGCTCCTCCTTAGAAGTTTCTAATTTCCAAATCAAGATGAGCTTCCTATTCATTCAATCAGTTTAATTTTCAGGCAGCATTTTTCTAGTGGTGATGTTTGTTTTTCTTGCCTGAGAAAAATTAATTAAGGCACCCAAAGACAACTGTATATTGGCCATTTTTCAGTTGATATTTTCTAGTTAAGTCTTCTCATTTCTGTAAAGCACTTGCAAGTCAAGGTGTTCTGTCAGGAATAGTAATGAGGGCTGGAGTCTGGGAGTTCCCAGCTGTGGAGGCACAACTTCCAATGTTAATTATAGGTGTGTGTGTGGCTCTTGTTTTTATTGTTGTTTGGTATCTGCAGTCTCTCAGCAAATTTTCTAGAGGTGTGATGTAGTGGGTTGAGGTTTGTTTCTTTATGGATTGAGCTGCATAATGCTCACTTTCCCAGAGTCTCATTCAACCCTCTTATGTGCCTCGGTTTCTCTCCCTGCTGTCTACAACAACCAAAAGGGCCACCAGTGCAGGTGGACCAAACCTGATTAGTGCTCCCCTTGAAGAGCCAGTTAGTTTAATTACAGTTGTGTGAGAATTTCTCTATGGGGCTCCTGCATATTGTGAGAACTGACCTCTGACACAGCCGCACACATCCTTACTTGTCTAAGAACACCTGAGATTCATGCGGGAAAGAGCATGTAATTTGATATTGAATTACAATATTAAGTGAAAGATTTTGACAATCAAAATCCCCTTCATCTTCTGAGATGAACAAGACCAGCTCTCATTTATACAACCCAGGTGTTAGCCCAGACTCTCAAATGGCAATTCCAATAGAAAAGTCTGTGGTCAAGTCCAGGCCCATTTTCCCTCCTGTCTCTCCTTAGCCTGGGATCTGTCAACCATTAACCTTAGTTCCCCCAACAGTATTAACAATACGGCTCAAATAAAGTCAGCGCCAAAAGCAAGGGAAGCTCCTGGGTCCAAGAGACAACTCACACAAGTTCACCGAACAGGCAGGGAGCTGGGAGGTCAATGGGCCCTTTGCTGGATGCCAGCACCAGGTGTAGGTCTGCAGAGTGGTGCTGGGTGAGCTTTTCCAAGATCCTGCTGTAGTGTGCCAAGTAAATGTCAATGTAAGAAGCATTCAAAACTGTGAACAATTGTTGAGATTTTACCTGAGCCCACCTGTCAATTGCCTTGAATCAAAATCTGAATGCATTCAAATATTGCTCTGGAGAATGGCCGTGTTCACCTTATTTTAGATATTACCATCAAAAGTGGAGATGTATGTTTGTTCTATCAAATCCGTTGGCGATAGATACACACATACTTCTTCACACAGGTGGATATAGGATAGAACAGCCAACAATGAACTTAATAATAATGAGGGGATTTGTGGTCTCCACACAGCACAGTGTGTCCAAAACAAGGAACATTCCTTTGGCATTCCAAAGCTATGTTTTTGTGGATTCTAAAAGACAATAGACAGGCTCAGTTAAGTTAAAGATTGACCATTGTTTAGAGAAGATGCCAGCCTACATGTAGCGAAACACCAAAAACTGCTTTTGATTAGAAATGTTTTAACTTCAGGACATCCTTTGTGAATACTTTAGGTCCCTGAGCTTAAAAGACCACCACCCAGGAACTCTCTGACCTAATCACAGGTTAGTGAGTGCCCACTTTTTGTGTGACCACACTCTCCTTTGATCACTTATGCCCCACCTCTTGCCACCAATCATGTCCCTCCTCTGTTCCACCACAAGAGGACAAACCATCAACGCTGAGTAGAAAAAAGGACCAGTAGGGTGCCAGCAGCTGCAGCTTCCTCACGAACTGTGGTCCAGACCATCACGTCCACGGTGCTCAAAACACAGGTACCCCAGAACTTGTTAGCTACCTGGGAGGTGGACTGCTCCAGCCCCAGCTGTGTGCCAGGTGGTGCAGTCTCACTTTAAAGAAGCTAGTGGTCTCCAAGAAGCTGATCAAGGACCTCAACTCTGTGGTGATTTCTGTGAATATTCAGGACTCCAAGGGCATCCTGAGGTCCCAAGAGATTGTGCTGCCCCGCAGTAGACCAGTGCAGACCAACCTGGTGCTGACCTTCTCCCTGCAGAACAACCACTTCCTCAAGAGAGAAGGCAATAAGCTCCAGATCATGCTGGAGCAGAGGAAGCGCTATAAGAACAGAACCGTTCTGGGCTACAAGACACTGGCCACGGGCGCCATCTCCATGGATGACATCATGCAGCAAAACCCCAAGTGTGGCCAGATGATGAGCCTCTGCAGCAGAGTCAAGGAGTCCTCCACCAAGGTGGCCGAAATCTGGATCTCCTCACTGTGCAGTCAGCCCATCAACGAGGAGGACAGTGCCATGCACAACCAGCCCCAAGGGCAAGTCCACAGGTAACTACACTGAGGGAAGGATAAGACCTCCTTTCCTGAGTTGTAGGCCAGCTACAGTGAAAAGCACAGACAGGAACTGCACAAGGATGACTTCGAGAAAAGGAAGCCAAAGAAGCTGCAGTGATCAATACAAGGAATCTTGAAGCAGAAAGTCCTGGTGCTATTTCACAGGTCCAAAGTATCAGAGAGGGACATTCGGGTTGACATGATGGGGAACCGCAGGAAAAGTGGCCCCTACATGGAGGATGATGAGATCATCTTTAGCATCCCCAGGCCCAAGCTCAGGCCATACTTCAAAGGCGTGTCAGGCTCCAGCTAGCAGATGGAGATGCAGGGAAGCCACATTGCCAGGACCAAAACAGAGCCTCTGAATCTTGCTCACATCACAGAGAATGTGTGGAGCCTGGGATGAAAACAGCTAAGTGACAGTGACAATGAATTTGTGGGCTACAGCACACCCACCAGCAAGGTGGACAAGATCCAAACCTCCTCCCTGTCCACGCCGTCCATCAACCATGAGGACAGCGCCAGACAAGCCAATCTCAAGGCTGAGTGCTCAGAGAACCACTCTAAGGGCAAGTCTGAGAACTTCCTCTCGAAGCTAGGGGCCAGCTGCAATGCCGGCCACAGGCAGGACCAGGAGGAGGATGACTTTGACGAGGGGAATCTGATTGTCAGAAGGAGCTCCATGACTCGGCAACAGAACTACCACCAGAAAGTCTTGTTATGGCTGCACACAGTCAAAGTATCAGAGGAGATCCTGGACATTGGGCAGGAAGGACTATGTGGAGCATTCCAGGGGGTGGAGGAGGACCTGGACCTCCTGTATGATATGCTGGAGAATGCCAGTGACAGTGTCCAGATATCGAGGACTATGACAGCGTCCTCAGCACCCCAACACCTCAGCTCAGGCAATACTTCAAAAGCCTGTCTAGCAGCCCAGACATGAGGGACAATCACAGTGTCCTCAGCAGCCCCAATCCCAAGCTCAGGCCATACATGGAAGGCCTGTCAGACTCCAGCTTGCCGATGGAGATGCAGGACCTCCACAGCACCAGAATCCAAAAGGAGCCTCTGAGTCTGGCCCACATGCCTGAGAACAGGAGGTCCTCAGGAGGCAAGCAGCCAAGACACAGTGACTCCCAACTTGTGGCCTACAGCACACAAATTTGTGGCTTACAGCATGCCCACCCATCAGATGAACAAGATCCTGAATGGCCACCCTGTCCAGTCAGCCCATGGATCATGATGTCGGTCACATACAGGCCAACATCAAGGCCCAAACCTTGCATAATGACTCTGCCGACATGTCTGAGAGCTTCTTCTTTCAGCAGGCAGCGAGCTAAAATGTCACCCACAGTTTATCCCAGGAGAATAACTGTAACGAAGGGAATCTTATAGTAAGAAGGAGATGCGTGACCAGGCACCAGAATTACCACCCGAGAGCTGTGGAATGCATGCTCATGGCCCAAGTGTCAGAGGAGGTCGTATCCTCACGACAGGTCCTGGACTTTCAGTATCACACTGTGGAGAGCTCCAGTGAGAGTAGTCTAGACATGGAGGGCAATATAAGTGTCCCCAGCACCCTGAAGCCCAAGCTCAGGCGATACTTTGACAGCCTTTCAAGTGATAGTGGCTCTGAATCAATGGCCCACGGAATTCGGTCCCCTGGGGAGCAGCTGGAGGACAGCCTGGAGGCAGAGTCCTCCATCTGGGGTTGGTTCACCAAGAAGCTGCCATCCATAGTGCGCTTCACCAAGTCTGTAGTCATCCCCTTCATCAGGTCCAAGGGGAAACAGGCTGGCCACTGGGGCTGCAACACAGCCCTGAATGAGTGGTTCAACGGCCTGGACAATGACAGCCCAGACCTACAGAACCAGCGGCAGATACCCAGGAAGCCCATGAGTGACCAGCCAAACAACATCCTCATTTCCCAGGACAAGCTGCCCGAGAACATCATCCTGGTCAACACTTCGGACTGGCAGGGCCAGTGCCAGTTACTTTCAGACATCCTGCAGGGGCATACACTGCCTGTGGTGTTCACTTGTTCCACAGTTGATGTCCAGAAGGCATTTAGCATCATCATCTCCTGGATGCAGAGATATTGCAACTGCAATTCCCAAGCTCTGATAGCAATATTCCCAACAACCACCTCAATAGGTGGACTACATGCGTTTTCTGGTCAACCCGCTGGGTTCCCACCCCCTGGCCAGCTACCTGGGTTCCATGGAATGTCGCTACAACAACTTCTTCCAGGACCTATACTGGTGGGAGATGTTCAACAACCTGGAGTCCCAGAACATCTTGCAGGACACACAGGACGTTTTGTCGAAAATCACTGAGTATGTGCCAACTGTGTCTACTTGCTGCCCATCCCAGAGGCCCTACTCAATGAGCAGCAGAAGCTCCCCAACGAGAAGTCCTCACAGAAGCTCATTCCCTTAGTGGGGGCAGCGAAGGTTGGAAGAGTGGATCGATCTTCAGCCATGTCAAGGGATTCAGATGATGTGGACCACTCATGCTCCAGTGTTCTTCCTGCCAGGAAGGCCTCACCCAACACACTCTCCCCTCCATCAATGAGTGGGGGCCTGTCCTCCCCTAGCCAGAGTGTCCATGCAGAGATGATGGAGCTTCAGGTGCATTACTGAATGGAAGCCCAACCAATATACACGAAGAGAATTGTGGAGAAGAAAGACCTGCCTACCGCCAAAAGCACACTCAAGTGCTTCTTCCAGTCTATCCAGGCCAGCAAGCTGCTCAGCAGTGGTGAGGCCAGAGCAACACCCACCATGTCCATGACAGTGTCACCAATGAGATGAAAAAGACGGCGCCCAAGAAAACCAAGAACGAGGATGTGGAGTCCACAAGCCAGTGCATTGAGGGCATCTGTCACCTGGTTTGCAGGGCAAAGAACCAGCAGAAAATGCTGCCAGTCGTCATTGATGGCATGGAGTGGAACGACGTGACGTTCTTCCAGCTGGCAGCCCAGTGGTCCTCTCACATCAAGCTCTTCCCCATCTGCATCTTTGGACATTTCAATTCCACATTCTAGCCCTGCCTCTCTCTCTGCCCTTCACCCTGCCCTTGCCAAGCCCAGAAGAACACAGCTGCTTTTCTGTGAACAGATCAGTTTACTACATACAAGACCTTGGAGACACCCAAAGAGAAACTGTTTTGAGTTTGAATGCACTCAGAGCCTGGAACCTAAGGGGGTTGTTTCTCACTGGGAGCTCCTAACTCCTCTGTTCAATAACCAGAACGCTCTGGTAAGTGGAAGGTCAGGAGGGCAGTGTTGAGCTGGAGAATCATGAAAGATGTGCTTTGGCCTCAGAATCCCCAGCATTCCCAGTGAAAAGGGTTATGGCTTTGAGAACCTGCCCTTCCTGGAAGCCAGGATTCTGCTTCCCTGGGGAGTCAGCTCCAGCCTGTGCCCAGACTCAGAGCTGGGTGGCAAGAGGACAAGGGCTGGCCTCTGATTGTGAGCATTCTGAGCAGAACAGGGAGGCCGGTCAGCCCAGCCCTTGGATCCAGCTGCCAATCAGCCAGCTGGTCCAGCACCACATTCTTGAGATTTCCAATGAACTTCAGCCTCACAGGGAGAAAAAAAACACACAAACAAACAACAAAAAAAACTGACCTGTATGGTGCACATGACCCTGGCATACTGGCTAGACAAAGTGGTCGAATACCTGAGAAGGGAACCCACCTTCATTCCTGTCTATACTTACAGAACTTTTGCTACCACCCAACAGCTGTGGGACCAATTATTTACCAGGTGAGCTCCTCCCCTTCGAGAGCACATGATCACCAGGCCAACTGTTGGCTGTTTGCCTTCAGGTCACTGCAACTCTCTGAGTGTTTCTTCCTCTGAACCCTCGTTGAACCCAGGAGCTAGCTCATAGGGTAATTATAGGGACTCACTGAGGTCCTCCCTGGTAAGGTTCTCTGGGTGCCTAGGCAGTGGAGAGGTCTGCTGGAGGGGCTGTGATTGAGCCAATTGGTTATTTTCTCTTCCTGTTAAGGAAGCCACTGCTAAATTTGTGATTCTCTTTGGGGTCTTGGGCTAAGCTGTTTATGCATTTCATAAAGAGATTGGAGATACGATTAGGGGTCCACTTCCCAGGTGAATATGCATCAGGTATGCCTGGGGTGAGCAGTGGGCCCCAGGGTCACCCAGCTATCTCAGATTGGGCTGGTTTGGGCTTATTCATTCAGCAGATATATTCATCGCCCTGGTACAGACATGTCTCTAGGCACTGACCATAATCCAGTGCTCAGAGCAGACCACAAGCCTGCACTGAAGAGCTTCCTTCTAGTCGGGAGTGATTCAGTCACACTAGGCAACACAGGCTCGTAGTGTCCACAGGACAGCCGATGTGACGTCCTAGTGGTCCCCTTTACCTATGGCTGCATCTGCCTGTGTTGTGAAGAGGACGATAGAACTCTGTTTCAGCAGAAAATATGAGTCAGTTTTGGATCAGAGCCATGAGGGGAGTATAGGGATTGTGAAGTCAAGGTGCTGGCAAAACCCTGGATCCCACACATGGTGGGATTTCTGTAAGAGGGCAGAGGTCTGAGGCTTCTCCTACAAAAAGGGAAGGGGTCAAGAGAGCTGGACATGTGGATTTAGGTGGTGTGGGAGAGCAGTGAGAGCTCAGTGAGAGAGTCAGACCCTCACCAAATTCATATACTTCCTCTCCTAATCCAATCTTGCCTGCACCCCTATCCCGGGGATGTTGATCACTAATCTGGTAGAACCTCTTCAGAGGCAGCTTGGCAGGTTCCCTCCACCCTGTGGGAGCTGAGTTTCAATGGAAGGGAAAGAACCACAGAGGACAGCTCCTGAATTATGTAGCATGTAGGTGCAGGAGCCAAAGTTTGAGGTGATAGAAAGGCCCTGGGGTTCGTTTTTTCAGTCATTGGTCAATATTCCTGAAGCACCTTCTCTGCGCCAATGAAAAACATGAACACGGTGGACACCAGCCCTTTCAGTCATAATAGGAATGTCGTGAGAGGGGAAGGGACACTGAGAGAGCATGTCAGGTCCCCCTGGAGAAGGGGACAGGTGGTTTCCTCATTGATCCAGAGCTGTCAGTTAGGAGGGGATTCTGCCAGCCCCTCCTGGGTGACCAGGCATTTCTCTGCAATGACTGCCAGACTGAAGGTGGACAAAGAGTAGGTCTGGCTTCTGGATGGGCAGGAGCAGCAGATACAGAACCCCAGGCTCTCTGAGTGGTGCTCTGGGAGGGCCGTGTGGAAGGAAAGGCCAGGCCTCAGACCCTGCTGCCCACCTATCTCTATCCCAAGGACCATCTCCTGCATCCTGGGCATCTGGGTGGACCAGCACCTTCAGGATTTCCCAGCCTGATGATGCTGTTTGCTTCCCTAGAGCTCAACTTTCCAGTCGCTGACCTGCCAAACCAGGCCCAGAGTCTCCATTCACAGCTGCACCACTGAGGAGGAAACAGAGGAGGAAGAGGCCTCCGTGGGTGGTGTGGGTGATGAGCCTTTAGAAGGCAAAAAAAAAAAAAAAACCAGTGAGGGTGGTAACATTACCTATTCTTGGATCTACAGAACCAGCTCCAGAGCAACATCAGGAAAATGCTCAAGAGGCAACGCCACCCTAGTGGCCTCTCCAGAGCCAGAGCCGGGTCCAGGCCCAGCTTTCACTGAACTTCAAGAAGCAGAAGAACCACCTGCAGCATTTGAGCAACTCACCCCAGCTTCTGTGCGGCCTGCGGTGCTAGCTCCCGGGCCAAAGTGCGTGTCAGCAGCCATGGCAGAGAGGGCACCCTCCTACCCCTATTTAGATGCAGTGTTAAACGTTTTGTGTTTTTGTTACATATGCTTATAATTTTACTGTATATTTTATGATATTTAGTAGCATACAGTATTTGTAGAGAAGGTTCAGTGAAATATTCCTAAACATAACCTTAATTTAGATTCTATAAAATTTAACCCTTTAAATCATCAGAGCTTTGAACAAGTCTATTTTTCTGGACCTTGACCCACCCAGGGAGAACTGTCCTCACCTTCTCCACCTGCCTTTCCTGGAAGCCAGGACTCTGCTTCCCAGGGAACTGGCTCAGCCCTGTGCCCAGACTCAGAGCTGGGTGGCCAATGCCAAGGGCTGGCCTCCCATTGGGGGCATCCTCAGCCAAACATGGAGGCCAGTCAGCTCAGCCCTGGGCCTCCATGTTGACCACAACACCACTCACTCAGGCTTCCAAATAAACTTAACCCTCACAAGGAGAAAAAAAATACACGTAAGGTACAGACCTCCCAGGAACAGTGACTGGACAAACTAATCAAATATTTGGTGCCCAGCTTACTGGCAGCGTTCACACCTTTGATCCCACCCACATTTCTGTGTTAATAGAGAACATTTGCTACTAACCAACGCATGGGACCGACCATGTACCAGGTGAGCCCTGCCCCTACACAGCACAGTGGTCACTCAGCCACCTGCTTGCTGTGTCTTCAGTTCATTACATCTCTTTGCGCGATTGTTTCTCTGAACATGGGGAGAGCCGAGGACCAGCCTCATAGGGTTATTGTAGGGACTAGGGGTTGGGGAAGGAATCTCCCTGGGAAATGGCACTCTGGGTGCCTGGATACTGGAGAGGTGTGCGGAGGGTCTGTGGTTGTTCTAATTGACCATTTTCTCTTCTTAACATGCCTTCTGCATTATTTGGATTCTTCTTGGGGCCTTAGGCTAAGCTATTTTCTATTTTGAGAAAAAGATTGGAGATTCCATTAGGCATCCTTATCCCGGGTGAAACCAGTTTAGAAATCCCAGGGGGTCCCTAGGGTCATCCAGCTATCTGAAATAGGGCTGGTTTGGCCTCATTCAGTCAACAAATGCCCTGACTCCAGGATTTCCCTCCAGAGCTTCCTTCTAGTCAGGAGTGTTTTAGTCACAATAGGTTTCACAGGCAGGTAGCATCCACAGGTCAGGACATATGACTTCCTCGTTGCAATATCGCTGCACCTTGGCATATTTGGAAGCAGAAAGTGGATCTCAGGACCAGCAAAAAAAGTGAATGTGCTTTGGATCAGAGCCTTAATGGAAGTATGGAGGCTGTGACTTGGAGAAGCTGGAAAAACTTGGATCCCACGCCTTGCCTTGTGAGATTTCTGCAAGAGGGCAGAGGTCTGAGGGCTTCCCCTAGAAAACACGGAGGGGGTCAAAGACCACTGTGCATGGTGGTGTTTGTGAGTGGGGAGAGAATGGGGCTGGATTCCACAGAGAAGAGATCCCAGAGGCTGGGATAGGCAGGAGCAAAGAGTCCCTTAGGTCAGTGCCCCAAGGCCTGCAGTGTGGAGGACTTCCTGGGGTGGGCTCTTGAAAAGAGACTTCAGTGATGCAGATGAGAGATCCATTCTTTGGAAGGTACACAAATCAGTCAGTCATGGTGGTAATATGTTCTTTTCTTGGATTTACAGAAGCAGCTCCAGAGTAATATCAAGGAACACCTAAGAGGAAACACCAACTCTGGTGCCTTCTCCAGAGCCAGAGCAGGCTCCAGGCACAGGTGTCACTGAACTTCCAGATGTGCAGCCACCTGCTGCATTGTAAACAGTAAACAGTAAACAGTGGCCAAGTCAGAGCAACCTCCTTTCTCTGTAGGCGCTGAGCTGAGTATGAGTGGGCAGGACCATGGTGACTGTCACAGACGTCAGATGACGGGGCAGTTGCTGAGACTGGAGGTAAATCCCCTTGAATAGAACAGCCTTTTCTTTCCATAAATAATAAGATGCCTACAGTGCACCTGAAGGCCTTGGGGTTTGCACCGGTGAAAAAATGGCCCTCAGGGCTCCTATCTCAGGAGACACAGTTGTAGGGGGTCACACCTTCCTACATCACACTCCTCTAACCCAGAGATGTGCAAGCAGTCAGCCTGGTTCTCCTGAGATCTTCTGCCAGTCAACCTCCTCCAGCCTCCCAGGTTCCAGAGACTGTTCTGCAGTCTTATGTGTAGACCACTTGCTACCCAAAAATCCATATGGGGCTACATGATAGACAGATGTCTCTAATACAGCACATGGAAG